GTAAATTTGGAGTCGGATTGTCTGTTGAGAAGAATGGCCAAGTTCACCAATGAGATACATCCCATAATGAGATTTCTCCATCTACAATCAAAACCCATCTTTTCCAAGATTGCCAATAAAATGTCCTATTCCACGGTCATAAGCTTTGTGTATATCCAACTTGATTCCAAGCCTGAACTTCCGTTTTGTCTTTCTCAATTTAAGGAAATAGAAATTCTCATGTGCAATACCAATATTATCTTGTATTTGTCTTCTAGCTACAAATGCATTATGAGTAAGGGAGATCAAGGCCGGTAAAAGCGGTTTGAGACGGTTTGCCATCATCTTTGAGATGACCTTGTATGAATAGTTGCACAAGTTAATAGGGTGGAACTGAGAGACATTTTCAGGATTTTGCACCTTGGGTATCAACCAAGGTCTAAAATATCGATATTATCGGCGATATTTCGCCGATAATATTGTTTTTTTTAGAGGACGATATTTTCACACTTATCCACTTAATTATCATTAATATATCGATATTTTTGTCGATATTATCGCGATAATATCAGAAAAGATATTTTCAGCATTTTAATACACTATTTAGGCAATATATCGCGATATTATCGATAATATCGCGAGATGAAACCCAAAAATACTTGAAAGGGACAATACTCTCAACGATAGGACTTCTGGAACCTAGCTCTAGCACCGTGACCACCGAGCTTCTTAGGCTCGCAGCGCTGGGGATCAGCGACGAAGAGAGTCATGTCGTACCTGACCAAGATGTCCTTGACGAGCAGAGCAAATCGACATATTTCTGGTAAAACGCCACGAAGGCCTTGGCGATGCTTTGACGGATGACGTAGATCTAGGAGGTGTGGCCTCCGCCTTTGACTCGAATCCTTACTTCGACGCCGACGAAGCGCTGTCGTCTGAGCAGCAGGATTGACTCGTAGGCCTTGAATCGGCGGATCTCGGGCTCGACGAGCTTGATTGGGTAGCCGTTGATCTTGATCAGGCTGCAGCGCGCTTGCAGTAGGTCACTGCCACCACCGTCTTCTTCCGACCGAAGCATTGCACGGACTCAATAGCTGGGGCCGCCATGGTGTTGCTCTCTAGGGTTTAGGGTCTTCTCTCCTGGGGGCTCTGTGTGTCTTTGCGCGCTATGAGCTTGAAGGCGCGAGACTGAAGTGTGGGAAATGTTAAATGAGAGAGATTTAAGGTTTTGGTTGATTGGACGGCTGAGATTGTTTTGTGAAACAACGATAAGATGGGTACTGAGGAAAATGTATTTTTTTTGGACTAAGCCATTACATTGTTTCTGTCCGGCCCATCATGGAGGCCCATACTTTATGTTGGGTTGTAAAATTATGAATAAATCACACCAATGCACGCAACTTTTAATTTGGATTTTGTGAAACATACTGCAAATGCCACTCATATTAATGTATCCATTAAAATTGACTAGATGAGACGTAGATGTCACTTTCTTTTTAGATTACACAACTAAACGAGATGTAGATGGAGCATTCTCAATGCACACTGATGATTAAGGCGAAAATGTAACGAGAATATTAAGAATGTAGACACATTCAATTAGATTAAAGGGGCATTTAGATGTATGTCCAAAAAATAAACTACTTTCGGATTCAGTCCAATTGGATGTCCTTATCAATTTTGGGGATTTATCATTTGATGACTACTCTTCACAATACACTTATTTTATACATAGAGATGATGAAGATAGTGAAAATTTTGAACCTCATAGGAACTCTATGTGGTACTAAGTCACTTATGTATCTTACCATGCAATGTATAAAGTGTAAAACTGAAGGATGATTTTGTGAAAACATGTTCATTTGAATAACATCTATAGCATGCATTTAACAATTAAAAGGTGGAATCATGCTTGCATGCATTCAAAAACAAAACATTACCCATGAAATTCAAAGCCTAGTAGATTGGTGAACCAAGACTCAACTCAAATCAAAGTGAGTTGAGAAATTTATACCTTTGTAGATTCCTCTTTCCATAAGCAAAGGCTAATCACCCAAAGAGAGGGCCTTCATTCCTGGCATCTTAGATCCATGGATTTGGATGGAAGAATATGGTTCTCCAAGTTCCCAAAATTGAGAACCTCTAAGTCTCCACACCAAGGTTAGATTTAAGTAGAAATGAGTGACCTTGGAGGAGTAGGATTGCTAGATACACCCTCCAAGGGGGCCGGCCTCCTAGAGAGAAAATGAGAGACATGTTCTCTCCAATTTTCTCCAAAAGAACCCTTAATGAATTTTAGGCTATAAAGTTCTTTATATAGTCACTTCTTTAAATGACTTAAGAACCAAAAACCCTAATTCAACACACACATGGCCGGCCATATATAAGGGATTTGGGCTTTTGGGCCTTTGTGAATCTTTATTCATTAAATTGTCATACAACTTAAGTCAATGGGCTTGACGTTCGAAGCCCATTGGGCCTTAAGGTCCAAAACTATCCCGATATCTTTAACGAACTTATTCGTTTGATTAATTAACATATTAATTAATCCTTGCCATAAATAATTAAACCATTTAATTATTCTTACTCATCTCCATTGTTTCTTCAATCTCCACCTTACACGGTGTACGATCCATTAGGTTCCTTTTAGCGAGGCAGTGGGCGATTAAAATTCTTTAAAATCGATTGTGAATTGAAACTTACTTTCAATTCTCCCTTTAGTGTTTATACACGTTTAGGGCTTCCACAAACCAAGAGTGACACCTAGCAGCATATCATGGTTACCCAAGCTAATCAGAAGAGGTAGAGAACCTATTCAGTTTAGGATTACAAATGCAATACAGTCTTTCTCTAATACAATACTCTTGACCACATTGTTTGGTTTGATAGTTTATTCAAGTCTACTATCCAATGTGATTCGTGTGCTTATATGATTACCTTGAATGTGATTTGGAACGACTTTCCTAAATCTCATTCATACTCTGGCCAGAGATTCTAAATCATATCATAGAGTATTCTCCCCCAAACGGTTTGAAGGTTAGAGATCCCTTGTTGCGCATTCACTTGCCTCCATAGCTAAATGGCTTAACCCCAACGATGCCGTAGACACCCGCGGATGGAGTGACTTTGACATAATCAAAGATCAAGGACTTAACCACAAGACAAACGTGATGCCTCAGGTCAAAGGACTACTTTGCATTATCCCAACCATGAGTTCTCATGTGACATGAATATGAGAACTCTTCGTTGATCGTGTTCAGTGAACTCATTCTCTATTGAGCACCTACGTACTTGTCTTGATGTCACACACACCAATGACTCGAGACTAGTCACTCTCCCTGAGAGAAGACACAGCACGTACTGATCTTAACGGACTGTCAATACCCAATTGGAAATCCTATGATCAGGAACGTTTAGGATGTGTCTACGAAAGAATGGTCTCATGAATCTAACTTCTTTAGATCGCATTCTCCCAATCACATATTCCTTGGACTTATCGTTTAAGCATATAACATTTATATGAGACGGCTCAAACAATAATCTTTGCCCTTGATATTAAACTTTATTAGTTTAACATGTGAAATGTCCGTAAAGTATCATCATATGATTGGTTTTAGGGCACATTTCCAACAAAAACATTGTACTAATTCATTATATATAAATGATTATGATGTGTTTAAACTTTTTTCATTAATTACTACATATTTTCTACACTCACAATGTTTGCCAGCTCGCTATATAATCGACTTAAACTAGTTAAATCCATCATGCAATGTATTTCCTTCCAATTTTTTGTGATAAACTAATAGATAATTGACTAAATAAACATCCTGCAAAGTTTCAATAAAAATTTCTAAGTTTTTCTTACAATTTCCGTGGTTTTTATTCAATTTTTATCGATATCGATAATATCCCGATATTTCCATCGAAATTTCCGTGTTTTTAGACTACCGATATTTCCGATATTTTAGACCTTGGTATCAACATAACATGTGTAGCATTGATCCGGTTAGGGTTCTGCTTACCATTCATAAGGTCTCCAATTAACTGATTCACATCCTTCACTATAATGTCCTAATAGAAGTGGTAGAAAATACCCTGAAAACCATCGGGACCTAGGGCCTTTAGACCCCCCATTTGCAAAGCCTCACAAAATGATTGTGAGGTGTGCTTAGCCTCACAAAAAGTTAGCAATAATGTTTCTTTAGTAAAATTGTGTTTTATTTACTTTATATTTCAGTGCATTCATATTATTAATTTCCCAATAAAGTCAAATAAAAGTGTCATATTTTCACACTTAGCTGAGCTCATAATTCACTTTCCAATCTTTTCTACATAAGGAAAATCATCCTCACTTTCTTTTTCTTTTAGTGCACTCTTCTTTTAGCTTTTGTTTCTACATAAGGAAAATCATCCTCATTTTCTTTTTCCTTTAGCGCACTCATCCTCACTTTCTTTTTCTTTTAGCGCACTCTTCTCTTTGCTTTTGTTTCTACATAAGGAAAATCATCCTCAATTTCTTTTTCTTTTAGTGCACTCTTCTCTTTGCTCTTTCTTTTCTTTTTTCACTTGGAGTACATCTACAAAACATACAGTCAAATACTGTGAGGTGGCCTCTCAAGTCTCATGTTCTGTGAAGACTTTTTATTGATAAGTCTCAAGCGCCAACCCATTTTTCTAATGATTCTCTCTCCTTCAAATTTCTCTCTTTTTTTCTTCCATTTTATTTAAAGAGTTACGATTTAATCATATCAATATTTTATATTGATTTTTTTTATAAAAAAATAAGATAAAAAATATGTGAAAGGAGAGGAGGGAAGGGGACGAGAATAGGAGAATCCACTCCTTTCCGCACGTCCTCCTAAACCCTCCAAAATCTCTGTCAGTGCCTTACCACCCTCCAATCCTTTTCAGTTTCATCCCAGTTGATGTCTCATGATCTGGTTTGTCAACTCTGTCAAATTACAAGAGGAAGAAGAGTGCAAATTTAGGGTTTAGGAATTAGTTGGTGTAATAGTATGGAGGTATGAGATTGTGAAAGATATTGGGTCTGGGAATTTTGGGGTGGCAAGGCTGGCAAGAGACAAGCTCACCAGAGAACTCTTTGCTGTCAAGTTCATTGAGAGAGGACACAAGGTTCTGTCTTCTTCAACTCTTATGTCTTCCCTTCTTCTGAATTCTCTTTTTTCCTCATCCGGTGAATTTTATATTGTTTTTTTTTTTGACGTTTAATTTCTTTGGTGATGCAGATAGATGAACATGTTCAAAGGGAAATCATGAACCACAGATCACTGAAGCATCCGAATATCGTTCGATTCAAAGAGGTCTGTGATCGTAGACTATTTTCATTATTTTTGTTTTAAGAGAATGAATTTGGGAAGTTCTGTTTCAATTTTGTATGGGGTTGGGTGGCTGAAGGCAGAAGATGCTAAATTTGGCCTTTAATGTGCTTAAACTGGTAGGGATGATCAGAATTGATGTTTTTGTTTAATAAAACGCGGTATTTATTCTCTAAACTCCACCAAGGGGACGGGGGATGGTTAGAACTTTGAACCCGGGATGCAGTGGGACTAAGAGAAATGCTCTACACACCCTACACACCGGGGCAATCCACCACTTGCAGAGTTGTTGTTAAAACACCTCTGCTTAAAATATGAGCTTTACTTCCTGCACTTTATTTTTACTGTGAAGTGGAAATAGTCTATACATTTGCTTATTTGTGATAATTCATAACGAGGTTTGTGTTTAAGACTTGAGAGTAGTGCGGTCTCTTTCTTGCAGGTCCTGCTGACACCAACTCATCTGGCCATAGTGATGGAGTACGCGGCTGGGGGAGAACTCTTCGGGAGAATATGCAGTGCTGGCAGATTTAGTGAGGATGAGGTAAAGTAGTTTCGAAGGCAGAGGAAATTTCATTGGATATGTTTTTAGTGTAGATTCTGAAATATGGGATCTCTGAATGTCCCCTGAAATGGAGTCCATCTCGCTTTTGGTTTAGTTTCAGATAGGGAAAGTTAGGTCTGAAGCATTTTTACATAAACAGTCAGTCATAATATAACTAGAACTTGCGTACTTTTTTGATTTAATTGTTGTTTTGCATCAGGCAAGGTTTTTCTTCCAGCAGTTGATATCAGGAGTTAGGTACTGTCATTTGATGGTATGTAGTGTGGTGCTTGTCTGTTAACGTGTCGTATACTGTTATTTCGTTCTCATTTGATTTTGGAAGTGTTGGTTGTAGTAAGGAATAATTCGTTTGTTGCAGCAAATCTGTCATAGAGACCTTAAGCTTGAAAACACGCTCTTAGACGGCAGTCCAGCACCCCGTGTAAAAATATGTGATTTCGGATACTCAAAGGTAATGCACAGACCCTAGAGTACGGATCCACATTGAGGATTCGAGTTAATTAGACTTTGAGTGATTAATTTGTTCACTTTCTTTTTGTAGTCATTATTGCATTCTCAGCCTAAATCTACTGTAGGAACACCGGCTTATATAGCACCTGAAGTCCTATCTAAAAAACAATATGATGGAAAGGTAAGTCCACTTCTTGTGCCCTTTTGCTCGACGCTAAAACTTGTTATAGCATCTTTTGGTCTAATCTTGATATTATAGATTGCAGATGTTTGGTCTTGTGGAGTCACCTTATATGTGATGATAGTTGGAGCATATCCCTTTGAAGATCCTGAAGACCCTAGAAACTTTAGAAAAACAATTGGGGTAAGTGACATCCGCAAATTTTTCATCGATAAAATGGAACAGAAATCAAACATCGTATATATCAAAACTCACTAATTCGTTTTTGAGTTGTCATTAACACACTATATGTGTCGTATTGCAGCGGATTCTTAGTGTGCAGTACGCAGTTCCAGATTATGTCCGAATTTCAATTGAATGTAGACATCTCGTATCTCGTATCTTCGTTGAAAACCCCGAAAAGGTAACGTAGTTTTTAATTTGGTGCTGAAAGATCTTGTAACCTATTTGGTAGCTAGCATGAAGAGTTTCCTTGAAGTTTGTTTTTCCTTCAAATTATTGCAAATATCTGGTTTTCGTTACACGTTTCATTTTGAAATTGATCTGTTCGGCTTAGCCTTCTCACCGCGGTCTCTGCTTAATATCTCTTTGCAGAGAATAACCATCCCAGAAATCAAAAACCACCCTTGGTTTCTAAAGAACTTACCTGTGGAAATGATGGAAGGAGGAAGTTGGCAGTGCAAAGACATAAATTATCCGTCACAAAGCCTTGAAGAAGTGATGTATATAATACAAGAGGCAAGAAAACCATTAAGCGTCCCGGATGCCAGCAGGCCTCTCATCGGAAGCAGCAGCATGGATGTTGATGATCTTGAAGATGTTGAAGATATTGAAACAAGTGGTGGTTTTGTGTTGCCAAATAGGAGTAATTAGAGTATAGATACATATCATACGAGTGAATTTGTGAGTGTTGGGATGTTGTTAGGCTTTTGGGGGCCTTCTTTTGATGTGATGTGATATGATACATGGGCCTTGATGTGTGTATAATTTTGGGTTTACTCTTGTTGTAAGCTTCTCTCTTTTTATAAAAAAAAAAAAAAAAAAGCATCATACCTTTTCGTGTATGACGTGTTCACTTATTTGTAGCCGCAATTGGGGAGTAATGGAATAGAGGATGAGTTAAAATCCGAATTCTCATTGGAGTTGTTTACTAAACGATCTAGAACGGAGTAAGCCTGGTATTGATTCTAAAAAAGTTATTTGCTAACTTACTAGTTCAATTATTTTTTATGCTAATGGGTTAATGTTTGTTGAGTTATAGTGAATGGACAAACTTGAATTTTAAGATATGATGTGAGGACACAATGGCTAAAAAAAATAAAATTTTGCATTTTGTCTTCTAGAGTACAAATAGCGAGTGGTTCGGAAAATTAACGGTTAGACCTTGCATATAGGGGTTTAATGGATTTTCAACGGTTAGATGTTGCATAAAACATGTACTATTAAATGAGACGTATCATTGTAACTGAACTTGAAACTTTGATGAGTTTTTTTTCTCCTTAAGCCATAATACCACTAAAATTATGTTTATGTGAGAATTTTTTTATATGAGTTTGCTCATAATTTTTAATCCTTGGAGAGTAAAAAAAAAAAAAAAAACTAATATTTCCTAGTTCTATTTACGATAAAGTCGAAAAGGGAATGTATCTTACGGGGAGGAAAGCTTGGCTTATCAAAATTGAGGAGTTCATTCTCAAGATACTTTGTAATTAGTTCACGAAAATTCGTGCTTATGATCACCATTGTTCAAAGTAAGATCATTTAGTCAAGTAATCATAGGAAATAGATAGACAATTGGTAATATTTTTATCATATTCGACCATTTGTTTTTGTACAATTTGATGATTAAACAATCTCATATTTTATTGATTGTTTACACAAATGATCTTTACAAAGTGATCACAATCTCATATTTTATTGATTATTTATACAAATGATCTTTACAAAGTGAATTATAAGAACAGTGCCGATCATAAATACGAAGTTTCGTGAATCAAAAATAAAATATCTTGAGGAAGTCCTCTCATCCATCTATTGAGGAACGTATCTTACTAATTACAATCATTTACGATTAATCCAATTCCTCTGATGCAAAAAATGAAATTCCTCGTTTAGTATGGGTCCAAACAAACACAAATAGTTCGCAATCGGAATCTTTCTTGTCAAATCATTTTCTTAAGGTGATTTCTTGTATGGGTCCAAACAAACACAAATAGTTCGCAATCGGAATCTTTCTTGTCAAATCATTTTCCTACGGTGATTTCTTGTCAAAGCTTAAAACAATACGAAAGTGCTAGGAAAGTTACTACTTTACTAAGAAGGCAAAATAATGGGAAAGTTAATGTATGCGACTGTTACAAACTATGCCAAAACCTCTATATAAAGAGGTGAGGGAAGCCATTAAACCACACTGAGAAGTTTTCCATCACACAATTCTCGTGCTGGGAAATTTTATTTGAACTCTTATAATATCTTTCTACATCCAACTTAGTGTCTACACTCATATTATTATTAATTAAACTATCAATATCTTTTTAAATCCAAATTTAATACCTAAACTACCGTCGCAAACCCAATTTAATATGTTATTTTATCTATAGACCTATTTAAAAAACAAAAACTCCAAATCACTATTCTGCAATTCATTCAAAGTGTGCTTTTATTTGAATTGGATTCCCATGGTTCTTATCCCATTGCCGCTTTATAAACAAGACCTATTCAAACTAACTCTCACTCACTCCCATTGCCACGGTAATTCAACTCTACTCCATAACTCAAAATCATTTTATAAATACGCATACATTAGTAATATAATTATATAAAGACAGAAATTATATAGAATGGGTTCTTTTGTCTGTTTGTAATGTTTATTAAGCCCAAATGCTTAAGCTAGTATTAGGGTTATAATGTCATGAGTTCTTCTGGACAATAATTGTTGCTTAGTTGCATTTCCATGAATATATCCATTATGATTGCTCGCACAATTCTTGTTCCCTCTTAAGGCTTGGAAGAGAGCGATTTCTCTAGTTGTTGAAATCTGTCCTCGGTTTTAACCTCATTGACTTTGTTTGGGTAGAAGAGAGAGCTTGATGATTTTAAGGTTGTGGGGACTGGGGAGTAGGAGAGGATGGTTTTATGCTTGTCCAAATTCTTAACTCCAAATTATTTATTTCAAATTCCTCGATTCGAAGCCTTAGGCCCTAAGTTGTCCTTCAAATATACAGTGGGTTTATTAATAAATTTTAATTTTATTATTAATTTCACTTTGTACTTGATAGTAATTATGCAATAGGATAAAAAGATAATTCATGTTTAAAATTTAAGTTGGATGTAGAGATAGGTTATATGGGTTCAAACAAAATTTCCCTTTTCGTGCTCCTCCCTCCCTTTTCCGAACACACTCTCAAACACTCTGTCTAAGAGTAATCATTGTTCTTGTCAGCTGGGACAAAAGCTTAGTTTGGTAGTCGAAGAGTTTGTGGTTTGTATTGAAGGAATGGTGGTTATTAGAGAAGTTTCAGTGTGGGAACCCTCCCCCCAGGCAATACACTATACTATCCATCCAGTGAACAGTAACTGCCCTTAATGAACCGTAACCGCTTTTTGCATCTCCACCGTTGCACTTCAATAGCCCTGGCAATAGGCAATAAAATAATATTATTTTTTTTTTGGGAATAAATTCTCTCGCATTGAAACTGTACCAAAGGACACCCAAATTCACATACATGTTTTGGAATGAAATCAAGTTGTAAAAGTAAAATCCTATGACATTTTCGAGGCCCTACCTTACTCGGAAAAATGATGTTTCGCCGGAGCTCTCTCGGCTTGGCAATTTGTGCACCACAGAGATGAGGGTTGCAAAGAGAGTGCAGAGAAGAGAGTTTCAGAGAGTGTCTAGGTGGTAGTTCGTGGCATGAAGCTCGTTAGGACGGCGAGATGGTGGTTGTCAGTGTCTCTATGTTTGCAGGGATATAAAGAGACAATGAGGGTTATGGGCAGAGAGAATGGAGAGATTGAGGGAACTTAGGGATTTTCCCCCCATTTCCTGGTTTCGTGAAACTCACAAAGATGGTGAGGTTGTGACGGTGGTTTGGAGTTCGTCGGAATGGGAAGGCTGTGTGGTCTCCTGATAGAAAAAAAAAACAAAACAGGCGTCTAACGTCAGCTGGCGTTAGACTCACCTCAGGCGTTCGGGCCGGCACAAATCCAAGGGCTTGGTGCTCGGGCCTGCTCAAGCTCCCTCGCCAGCCAACGCTGGACTTCCTCCCTCGGGCAATCAGGCCCTGTGCTGAAGCCTGTCCATCTAGCAATTGCTCCCGTTGGAGATTGGTGTAAGTCTTTTCCTTGTTGTAGTCTTTTTCTTTTTGTAAGTAGTCTTTTTCTCCTTGATTTAAGGAGATTGGTGTAAGTCTTTTCCTTGTTGTCAACTCCTTGATTTAAGGAGATTAGTGTATGGTCTCTAGACGCATTGATTTAAGGAGATTGAGGTATGTTGATGTAAGACTACTAGACTCGCCTTTGTGGGATGTTTCAAGGAGTTTTCCTGGATGTCTTCGTGCGCTGCAATGTGCACCCAATCCTTCTCCTTAAATATCTCTTCCTCTTTTTTGTAACCTTATGATTACTTGGCAGTACAAGATAGAACTACACTTAAAAGCCAATAGTTTGTGCTTGCACTCGTCGAGGTTCGTAACAAGAAGTAATCTTCTACTTTGGGGCGATTTAGCCAGGTATACTCCAAACTTGATTGCATGAAGTTTATTTATATATATTGATCATGTTTATAGAATATGAAAGGAGATTTGAAGTTTAATCTTGAATTTTGAGGATAGATATTCACATTTGGTAAGATTTGACTATAATACTTACAAATACTTAATAGTATCACTATCTGACGATTAGATTTAATGTAATGACATTCAAAGACCATATACGTATATTAGCTGTAAGATTTCTTCTTCTTTTGAAAACCAAAAGGCTGGTCAATAAGATAAGTCATCTCCCTTTTCAATTATTAAGAGACAACCAACCCACTTTGCATTAATAATACGGAACTTTAACGAAAAGTTTCCCGTACTGTTTATTTTAACGAAAAAATCACATTTTTATATTTAAAAGTCAATCTTGGTACTATTCACTTTACCATTTATTTTGTTTTTATCGTTAAACTCAAAATTTTTAAACATTTTCCATTAATTTTCCTTTAATATTATCAACAAGTTGAAGCTGACAAGGTCCAATTATTGACGTGGTGATTTGCTCTATTCTGTATTCAAATTTGAACAGAAAACTTAACACATGCTATGCTTATCACGTGGTGAGAAAACTGGCGTGTGCTTTTATTTTATTTTTATTTTTTTGGGTCAAGGCGTGTGCTGTTATTTATTATGTTAAATTTTAATTACTTGTCTTAATAGGAAAATTTTAACTACTTCTTTACCTTCTTATATTTGCTTTTTAAGACAAAATTCTTCTCATGTTGAGTTATGCTACAGCCAATTGCGATTTTAAAAATGTGTTATGATCATTTATAATTTCTAACTATTGATGCACGGATGGTCAGAAATCTTCTTGGTCGACTTGATGTTAGTAAAATGCAATTTTCCATATTTAATTAGATCATTGAAAAGTTTTTAAGATGACTGTTGCGTAGTATTATCAATTCATTTATGTTAGATAACATATGGGTTTAAATTTTTAACATATTGTAGTTTGCCTTGTACGGGCATGCCTATAACGAATTTCAAGCATGCTTAAATTGCACGTTAAACTGCTACATTGCCTGTGATGGATTTTATATATTGAATGCTAAATTAAATTAAGGGTAAATTAATTGTCTATTTTACCATATTATATAATGGGGCTTTTAGATC